CATCAGAACTAAATATGAACGAGTGTCACCTCAACGTTTGGAAACGCATCATCCAATTTGTTTTCTTGTTTTACAAGGTTTAGTGTGTGACCTTCAATTTCATTTGCAGTTAAATTTTCCAAATGATTTAGAAATGCGAAATTACAATGAATGGCTGCATATGCGGAAAGCGTCTGACCTAAAGAGGTAGGTAGTGAATTGATCTACAATAGGAATAAAATTTTCAGTTCTAAATTTCTCTTGATTGTGTCATTTCAGCCTCTGGAGTCTTTCCATAATCCAGTGGAGTTAGCAGGATCCTTATTCTCGAAACAGGGAAGCAGCGTTTTCATGAGAACGAAAGTTCTGTCTTCGTCACCCATATTTATATTTCTATAACACTAACGGGGACAGAGCAATCGTTCTCATGAAAACGCTGTTCCCCTGTTTCGAGAATAGACATCCAGGACATTCCGACTTCCGTTGTCACTTCCTATGAGTGAAATAATCTGTAGCAAAACGCACTCGAGTACTCTATTTGATTAGTTAGATGGTAAATGGCGAGCGGTATATTGATGGTGTTTATTTCCTTGAGCTGCTACCTATAAAATTGTGGAGGGGGTCTAATCGCAAAAGAGAGAAACAAACTATTGAGGTTTACTAAATTATATTTTATTATACTTAAAACCAAAAATTCAAATAAGCAAATATCCTTCTATTCTGACAGCCACTTCTATTTTTCCCAACTCAAATTATTTCACATCCGTTAAAATTTCATTCCTACTACTGACCAGGAAATATCCCTACTAAAAACGCCTACTTCTCCTATTCTTAATAACATAAGCTTATACATTACTCTTTCAAACAACACTTCCGATTTACATTCCTTTTAAAACTACCCTTCACCTATATCTATAAATTCTTAAAACTCCTAAGTCTTTACTGACTGCTTATGCAAAATAATTATTTAAGTCATAATACAATTCACTGGATTAAGTATATATGTATTACCAACTATATTTTTATAAAATCTTACAATAATTTCTAAATGATTAAAACCATAACATTTCAGCACTTAAGGTCATCAATGTTACAACATGAACAACAAACTTTCAAACAAAACTTTTTATCAATTTAATCAGAACAATTACTATTTTCGGATTCCTAGCCAACATACACAATTATTTAAATTCTTATTATTTCGTTACTATAGCCCTTCAACTTCAATTGGACAATCCAATTCAAAATTCTTTAATAATTCCTACTCAAAATCGAATATTGCTAAGAGCATTATAATTTCTCCTTTCAAGTTTCTGCAAAATTAATTAATATGTCATTATACTCGAAGGCAATTAAATTTATGCAATAATGTTCCATAGTCAAAACACTGGAGTTATTAATATTTATGCAATGAAGTTCGAAAGTTAATTCACTTCATAGTCATTCATCATTTATAAAGTCAAAAAGTTTTACTAGTCACAAGAGTACTTACATTTAACTTTCCACACGTAAAATTACTTAATTTAATTTACTTCAAAAATCTCTAGAACACGCACATAATGTTGAAAGAATTTAAATGTTCTTTCTTTTCACAATTTTCCGTTACTATTTCAAAAATTCAATCAAACGCGTTTTCCCCCGAGGCAAAAATAAAAGAAACTTTTCGCGAATTTTATCCGGACTGACTCATTAGGTACTGTAGATTTAACTCAACTGGACTGAACTAACAACTCAACTGAACTGATAACTAGTCCTCCACTTCTAAAACCGCTGTATTTATATGTTTCGTTCCCCCAAAAATTCTAAATTTCATCATTCAATAACCTTCCTCTTTTATTTGTTTAAAATCGAATAATTATGTCGCAATTTCCTGGTTTATCGGGGTCAACAGATTTGGTTGTAAGAATTGGACATATAACTCAAAGAAAACCGACACACGTGGTGACTAAATAATAAATGTTTTAACGTATATAAATATTTTAATTTAATTTGGGGTCAACGCTAATTTGTTTTATTTTCAATTTATCGATACTGATTTGAAATACCGGAAATTCAGTTTTTGATAATTTGATTACATTTAATTTTTACAGTAGACATTGTAAAGTACGGGTCTATTTTCCCGGGTTATTGCAAATCCTTGATTTCGCTTATCTTCGCGGGCTTCATAGCTGTCGTGTCTTGACTCAATAAATTCTTTAAGTGATCTCAAATGCTGCCACTCCTGAATTAAGGTCATTATTTGGATCTTGAAGAACATGATTTGTGCTGTTTGTTCTCACGTTGTTTTCACGTTTCCACATTTTTGAATCTCGACATTTTAAATATGCTGATTTTTTGTGGGCCTTTATTTTGTAGGGGACCCGAGCAGCTACCCAGCCTGCCCCCGTTAAATCCGGCCCTGATGATCATGAGGTATGTGCTACGGCTGTTTTTCTATTCTCCGGCTCAAGGAATACGGAGGAGGAAAAGTCGACCATAAAATTTTCAAATGGTTCTCAAAGATTATGCAATAAAGTGCTAAAAATTCGGAAGAGCAAGATCAGGTGAGTGGGGCGGATTAGAAGTAATCCCACCGAGCTCAATCATGTAAGCAGTAGGTATTTGAGGGCGCGCAAAATCACTCGATGATGTCTTTCTGGTCCCTTTTCTAGAATTGTGGCCATTGTGACGGATTTGGTTTCAAATTTGCCAAAAGAAAATGAATATCGTACTTTCAGTTTCATTCACTTCTTCAAACACACAAACATACCAAGAGGAAAGGGCAAACTTACCCTACCATGCGTAAAGAAGTTTCACTTCAAAAATAGTATTCTCTATAGGCATTTCTATAGGTACCGGATTGATAAAATCCCTGAAATCGCTTACTGCCAAATTTTGTACAATACACTCAAAAATCGTGTACTTAGCCAGAGTAAATACTATCAAAACAATGAATATTTTACCTAAATTCATTTAATTATAAACCAAAATATCTAACTAATCATTTTCTAGACGGAATAAAACAGTTAATTCGATTATCCAAACTCTTCAGTAAAATTCATTTCAATTAACAGTCATTTGATTTAAATTTCTCTACCTATAGATACTAAGCACAAAAATATTCAAAGTCAATTCACTCAAGACAATAATATTTATGTAATAAAGTTTCAAAGTCAATTCACTTCATAGTCATTCTGATCATTGATAAAGTCAAAATAAAACTTTCCACTAGAGTACTTACATTTAATTATCGCCCTTCACTTAATTATTCTAATTATGATTCTTTTGATTATTTAGAGCTCGCACATAATGTTGAACGAATTTAACTGTTCTTTCCATCACAATTTTCCGTTACTTTTTCAAAATTCGATCAAACAAGTTTTCCCGTGGCAACAAAATAAAAGAAACTCTTCGCGAATTTTATCTGGACTGCTTCATTAGGTACTGTAGACTTAAACTCAAGATTGAACTGAAGACTGACTCAAGACTCGCCCCTTTTATACTATTATTTATCCACCACAATCGACAATATGGGTGGTCGTTGACCATCTGTAAATTCAATTCTATTGGTCGACCTAGATATTATTCCAAAAAATATAACTTACTCCGATGAGATTTCGACATCATCCGATGATGATGTCGAAATCTGTGCCAAAATTGTATGATTACTAGGGGTCAACGAAATGGGAAAGAATGTAGAGGACACTTAACTCAAAGCATAGGTGCACTCGTGCCGACAATAAATTATACGAACTTTTGAAATTTCTGTCATTTTGGTACCTAATTTAATTAGGTACCTAACCTTGTATTTAATCTTTTCCGGGTTTTGATTTATGAGTTCAAATTTGATCACTTTCAATTTATTGATATCTACTGATTTGAAATACTGGAGCTCTGGAGATTCAATTTTTGATTATTCGATTACATTTGAATTAACTGTTGTTGCATTTTTTGAAGACATTGTAAATTACGGGTCCATTTTTCACAAATATTTGGAATCAGGTTTGATAGGCTAATCCGATAGGTCAATAATATACAGGGTGTTCAACTTTGCATTGCCACACTTTTGTGACACACTCTGTAAACTTGTAACTAACTTCATTGAAAACTTTCTGATTTACCTACAACTTTCACATTTGACATTTCTGGGTACCTATCTCTTCAAACAGGTGAGATAGGTGTGGGTGCAAAATATAGGCAATCTTCCAGTATATCATTATACTTTTTACTGTTCCAACTATCAAATAATAAACAAAACATTTCTAATTAATTAGCTTTCCTTTATTACTTTCCCTTCCCTTATTTACTGGAAAAAATACTCTTCAGCTATTTAACAAACTAATGAAAAGTTATAGTTACCAAATAACAACTTTTCCATAGCATCCGAGTCTCATTAATACATCAGCTTTTATATTTTAAATAAATTATTTGTAAAATTCCTAATATTTTTTGTGAAATAAGTCAGTACGTTATATCATTCACTAATTTATTAACAGCGAGATATCGTAATAGGAACTAAGCAAATATCCTAAATTGTATAATGATTGGCCAAACCGCGGAAATATTAATCATGCAAAGCTAAATAGAGCCAATTTGACTACGTAGGTGAGATAATATTTTCTTTGCGGGATACATTTTGCAATTTATGCCGATTAAACAGTAGGTAATTAAATGAATAATTAGGGATTCTAGTAATTCGATCTCCATACTTTCCATTTGAAAAAATGAACTTTCCAATATTAAATACGTAGATAGGTATATCAAATAGCTGTTGCAGAAAAGGTAGATACATATTTCACAATGAAAATAACAAATTAATAGTTTTTTCAAGTATTTGACTTCAAAATGTATAATTTTTCATATGGAATATTTGACTCATAAAGTTGGTAACTGCAAAACCCGATTCACCACCCTGTATGTTGAATTTTGTACTGACAAAAGTACCAGCGCCTAAATCTTTATAAGTCAGAAATGAGTCCTAGAAAAATTGTCATTTTACCAATACTTTTTAAGCACATTTTTCTATTTTAGACTAGTCAGCAATGGAGTACGACTACAACGATAGATTGGCCTTTTTGGCCAAATGGTTAGACACTGAGCGATCGATGCAAAAGAATTTCAACGTTTACTATTATCCCAGCAACAACACTTTGGAAATGTTCGATCGCGATTTGAACAGGATTTATCTGAAACGAATTAAAATGGACGGATTGGGATTCAAGGATATGTTTATTGGTAAGGAATTTTAAGGCTCAATTTACAAACCAATATTACATGTTTGTTAAGCGTAAACTACAACAATTTTCGAATATTTCAGGTACTCTTTTCTATGTAGATCAAAATTTCAATAGAATGTTATAGTATAATTTCCTATAAGATACTATTTTTCAGGTAACACAATACGAATTTATGGTCGTCAAATTCGTCTAACCAACTACGCAGACTCAAGAACCGAAAAAATAATAGGAAAAACTAAAGAGCACACAGTTTGCGTTATCAAACCCAGTTTGTTACCCAAATTAGGAGATGTGATAATCGAAATTGAAAAGACAGGTTTCCAAATTTGCAATATGAAAATGTGCAAACTATCCAAAAAAGAAGTAAGTTGGAAATTATTATTCTATGTATTTATATGTTTTGTCAACCAACTCAACTGTTATATAGGCATTGGAATTATATGAACCGTATAAAAATAAAGAACCACTACTACCATTCATCTTGGAGCACCTTGTTTCCGGTCCCATTGTTGTTCTGGAATTAGTTGGTGAAAATGCAGTAGAACGTTGGTTAGAGCTCCTTGGACCGACCGATCCTGTTGAGGCGAGAAAAACGGCGCCAAACAGCCTTATTGCCATTTACGGTGAAGATAGCAAAGTAACAAACGGATTCCTTGCTTCCCAAGACGAAGCCAATGTTATACGGGAAAGCAACTTTTTCTTTGCCAAAGATAAAACGAGAGAAGTTCCTCAAAATAACATTTCACTTCAAAACACTACATGTGCAGTAATCCAGCCTCACGCAATTGAAGAAGGCAAGCTGGGGTACATTTTGGCAGCTATAAATGATGCTCATTTTTCCATCAACGCGCTGGAAATGTTTTACTTGAGCAATACAAATGCCGAGGAATTTTTGGAAGTCTACAAAGGCATAGTGAGTGATTTTAATGCAATGGTTTTAAGCTTTGTAGACGGGCCTTGTGTAGCCTTGGAAATTGCCGGGAAGAATAGTAACATGAAGGTTTACGAAGAATTTCGATTGTTTTGTGGCCCTAAGGATTCCAGTATTGCTAGGCAAATAAGACCTTTGACTTTGAGGGCCAGATTCGGTTGTGATAAGTATAAAAATGCCGTTCATTGTACCGATTTGCCTGAAGACACTGTGCTGGAGTTGGAGTATTTTTTTAGAATCTTGAAAGACTATTAATTTATTGAATAGGTGTTTATTTATTTTTCTTTTAATTTTTATATTGCATCAATTGATAACAGTCAAAAATTAATTTCTATTTATATATATATATATATATATAATCCAGATTCCCACTCGAGTTCTATCCCTTTGGTGGATTTGATAAAAAGGGCTGCTGCTTGTTGCCCTATTCCACCTTGAACCAAATTAACTTTACCTTCCGTTTCAATCCAGATGCATGTAATTATTTATCTCTTCACCAGCCCAAGCTATCTGGAACAGAAAAATGCATAAGTAGAAGAAATCTTTCAAAGGTAAATAGGAACAGCAATTAGGGAATAGTTTTGTCCAATATTCTGATACTTACAGTATAATTTCTACTTTCGAACTCATTTATGCAAGTTTTTGAATAAAGAACTCTCCCATCTTTGCTAACTTTGTCGCAAACTCCGAAAATAGTACGTTTTAGCGGATATCCTCCGCAATCTACTTCGTCGCTTCGTATGTCAACAATAATAATAATTAACAGAATTGCAAGTAATAATTTCATTTTTTTTTTTCGCAATGTTAGTAATTTCATTTATTTCTTATTGTTAGTTTATTGTAAACAACTAAATGAAAATATTTACTCAAATGTACCCACTGTTTTATCTGTGAATAATTCCCCTTATTGCGATAGACATAATATTGATAAGAAACACAATGGATAAAATATAGGAATTTTTAAAATTGCATATGACAATCATTATGAGGTCTTAGGTCTGTTCTCACCAGAAATCACCAACTAGTCAGTGGCGGATTCAGGGGGGGGGGGGGGCGCGCGCCCCTCCCCCCTGAGAGCCTCAAAAACAACTATTTTTTTTTTTTTTAAATCATAGATAGAAAAATTTTATAAAAGAATTTTCCAATAAAATGCTATAGGAAAATTTTATTGTCCAAGCTACACTACTTCTACTATTGTACACGTTTTGTTTTTATCAGATAAATGTCCTATATTTTTATTTGGAATAGGTTTTTTTATTTGTTATTTTTGGTTTTTTGATATGTGCAGGGTTGTCCAATTTGAACACAATAGAAAACGTTAATTTCTGAGCGAGATACAAAAAAATCAACCCCCACTCTGAGGCTCAAATTTTATGATATTGTGAACCGTTTTGTGACTAGAGAATCCAGTGACTTTCTCAGTTTTTTTTTCTATTTATTCCCGAATTCGAGATATTAACCAGAGTTCGATTGTTTTGATGGGACACTGGACACCCTATATAATAATTACCGATTGAATAGCTCTGCTTTTGCTGCTTGCAATGATATAAAATTCGATAGGTTTACCTTTTTTGTTCGAGTTTTCCCGAGGGGTTAATCACTCCCTGAAATCGTGTCACAAATTCATCCGAAATCCTTCTGAAATCCACGAAATGACTCCGAAATCCGCCGAAATCTCTCAGAAATCATTCCGCATACTCAAAAATCCATCGCAATTGGCCCAAAATTCGTTTTCGGCCGTTTTTCAGTTTATACTATATACACTTTCGAATATACTTATGAGATAAGTAACAGTCTAAAATGAAATTGAAATATTTGTGAAATCACCTGAGATTCTCCGAAATCATCCTTCGAAATCACCCGAAATCAACCGAAATCCCTCAAAATCGCTCTAAATCCGAAATCTTGTTACAGTGAATAATCCCTCGAAATCTTTCCTAACTTTAGTATGCCGCCATTTCGGCAGGGTAAATAGTAGCAACTTAAAACTTCGGGGATATATTCTTAATGAAAATGGCTACCCTTTTTCCATTTGAAATTTTGGGGGTACCTGTTACCCCAACTTAGGGGTTGACAGGTAGGGAGTGAAAATACCAATGAAATGTGTCCCCCAAAAAACAAAAATTGACGTGTCTGAGAGATTTTTGATTAAACACCTAACACCTGAGAAACTTTTTCGTGCCCCACCCTATATAGGGTTTTTTATTAAAAAAATAAGACAGATATAAAAAGTACGTCATTGAATTCTGCTTGGAAAAGTACCTCCAGAAAGTTTATATAGAAATCAATTATTTTCATAAATAAAAAAGTTAGGAAAGTTTCACCTTATCGCTCAAAATCGAGAAACACCCTCTAGCGGCAAAACGGTTGAGAGTATCAAAAGGCGGTTTGTAGTGTTTGCACCAATCGAGATATCATTAAATTTGAGCCTCAGCAGACTGAAGAGTTCATTTTTATGTATTTGGCTCAAAAATTGACGTTTCAGATCAAAATATCAAAAGTGTTCAAATTGGACCACCCTGTATCTACATTCTCTAACGTATAAGTAAAGTAAAAATAAATTTTCAAAAAATCATTGTTGATAATTCTTAGCCTGCGCCCCCCCCCCCCCTGAAGAAAATCCTGGATCCGCCACTGCAACTAGTCGGAGCGTTTTTAATTGGTGCAAATCACCAACAACCAAGTTTTCTGACTATTTTCAACCAATGAAATTTGCTCCGACTGGTTTATGATTTCTTTGAGAACAGACGTCTAAATCGTCTAATGGGCTCGAAAGTTGATAGGATATGGAAAAAAAATTGTATCGAACACTATCTACAAGTTGAATTACTAGTTAACTTGACTGTTTTCAGGGCATTTTTGTCAAACAATGAAAAAGAAATTTCAGTATATGCGGTAAAGAAACTTTACAGCACGTGTGCGGTAAGGTAGGTACTTTTTATAGTGACTTGTGTTTCACAAGATTCTTGCAAATTTCTTGTTCTTTACTTGTTCTTGCTGCAAGAACAAGACAAGACTCTCTTAAATTTCTTGTCTTGCAAAGCAAGACAAGACAAGAAGTTGCCAAGCAAGACAAGAAATTATTCTGCAAAACTCTTGCAAGCTTGCAAGAAATCTTGCAAAAAATTTTGGCAGTTAACTACAAGATAAAAATGTCAACATGTCAGTTTGTACAGTTTAGGGCATTTTTCTGCGACGAAACGTTTTGAAATTGTAGTTTCGAAACACTCAAACAGATGTCAGTTTCTAACAGTTCTTGCAGCAGGTATGGCTAGGAAAATTTTTGGTCATGATGGACAACGACACTGCACACACAAAATTGAATTTAAGCTCAATGTGAAGGCCTTTTCGTTTTCAACCATCAAAGAATCAAGTCGAATTTTTCTTAAGGTCTGTTAGCACTGTAGTGCATAAAATAGTGACGTTAGAGCTGAAACTGTTTTAAAAGGGATTTTGAATCTGTTTCCTCGAAAAAAAAGCCTTTAAACCAGGAAAGATGGCAACCACGTTATCAATGACAATGACACCAATCATAATCTTAAGGGCCCCACAGACTATGATGAAACATGTCGCTCCAAAACCGACGTGTGTGGTAGAAAACCGTCGTGTTTTGCTACCACACACGCCCCCGACACGCTTTTTAATGTAATGAATGATGCAAGAGTCTTGCAGCAAGAATCTTGCAACAAGACTCTTGCAAGCAAGACTCTTGCTATGACGTCACAAAACACTATTAATGCAAGAACAAGAAATTGCAAGAAATCTTGTTTGCAAGACAAGCTTTTTTTCTGCAAGAGTCGGGCAAGACAAGAATGAATTTCATTTCTTGTCTTGCTTTGCAAGACAAGGCAAGAATATGCCCAGCAAGACAAGAAATCTTGTCTTGTGAAACACTAATAGTGACCCATAGGCCATAGGTAATAGACATTACGTTATGAGTCACGAAAATCAACTTTTACAGGGTACAGTAGGTATTTGTGAGACGAAATTTTGGAACGGCTTAGTCCTGTAAAATAGCGGCTTAGTTACGATACACTATGAAATAAAATGTTGTACCTAGCATTATAAGGATTTTTTTTTTTTTCGCACGTGTTAAAGTACGTTTCACTTATTACCACACTGTGACTCATATGGTAATAGATATTTCCGTTATAAGTCCGAAAAATCAGCTTTCACTGTACTTATGTGAGTATGAGAGACGAAATTTCGAAACGGCCAAGTCCGGTAAAATAACGGCCTAGTCCGGTAATGGATATTTACGTTATGAGTCCGGAAAATGAACTTTTACAGTATGAGTGAAATGCTTTTGATTTCCATATAATTCTGAAACGAAATACCTACTGTGAGTTTTTTCGAACGAATAACGTAAAATATTTTTCCTACGACCAATACGAAAGACAAAATTCACACTAGCTGGTTCTTTGGAAAGCGCTAAATATCACACGCGTGCTGAAAGTACTTTCAATACGCGTGCTAAAAATACTTTCAGCACACGTATGGAAAATACTGTTGACATTATTTGTGATTGACATAACAATTTATTTTCAATACGTGGATTGAAAGTACTTTCAGCATGTGTTGAAAATGAAAAGAAATAAAATAAGAGAAAATTGATGTAAACCGGTTTTGTTTCATAGGAAAAATGGTGTACCATCGTCACCAAAAGTATCTGGGACACAAATAATGCATAATAATCTCCTGGACTAATTCTTCTGTCATTCATTTCAATGCATTTAATTCGTAGTTTGACAAATATTTGACAATAAAATTCATATAATAGGACAAGAGCTAATGTGATGCTGTCCCAGTTACTTTTGGTGACGATGGTACATCACTCATAAGAAAGCGTCTTCCATACACTCGTGTGATTTTCGCACTCGGCTACCGCCTCGCGCGAAAAAACACTCGTGTGAAATTTGTCACTTTCTATACTCGTAATGTAATATACTATTATTTCATACTGTTTGACTCAATAGTACTGTGTAAAAGTTCATTTTTCGTACTAAATCTAAGTAAGTGAATAATGTGTGTTCCAGTATGAAATAAAATGTACCATCGTCACCAAAAGTATCTGGGACACAAATAATGCCTAATAATCTCCTAGACTTATTCTACTGTCATTCATTTCAATGCATTATATTCATAGTTTGACAAATATTTGACAATAAAATTCATATAATAGGACAAGAGCTAATGTGATGCTGTCCCAGTTACTTTTGGTGACGATGGTACCTCACATGCGGAAAGTGCTCCCAATATTTTATTGTTCTTAGTTTTTTAAAACTTTGCCGTTTGCAAAACGGCTTACATTACAAAGGGGAAAAATAGGACAAACAACCAAAATGTATGTAAACGTAGGAAAACTTGCTGACACCGACCCGGCTGGGATCACGACAAGTAGAATTCTACTATAATTCTACTTTCATGACGTCAGGTTACCTAGCAACCGAAATCAACGCCTGTACTGTACGCGGGTGACGTCATAAAAGTAGAATTCTACTTATCAGGATCCCAGCCCAGAAGGAAGCTTTCGGTCCTCCTGCTCCTACTCCAGAGCAATAATTCGCTCTCCGGTTCATTCAGGTCATGAGCGAGCAATTTGAATTTAGAGAAACGGGTTCTTGATATAAATAGCGCTTTTCGGAACCATAATGTTTAAAGGTGCTAGTGAACTTTAAAGAAATTTTACCGATTCGTTAGACGGAGATAAACCTGTTTATTCGGGACGAAATTGCCTAGAGCGAGTGCAGTTACTTATAGCTTATTTTTACTTGCACTAGTGCGACCATGCAGTAGCATTTTGAGATATTAGTTCAAAAATATATGTTCGAGCTGATATATTATACAGATCATGAACGAGTTTGCCCGCTCTATTTTACAGTGCACTGCCACTTTTCACGAAACGAAATTGCCTAGAGCAAGTAGGGTAGACAAATATACCATTAACCCTTTTCACGTGGCTCCGATTTAACAAACCGCAACATACCGCTCAAATTCGAGTGGTAGGTATCCATCACGTCACTTTGTAACCGGGTTAGAAAACGGTATGTCATTTCTCTAACCGTTTTGTAACCCGGTTAGTTAAACCGGAGCCACGTGAAAAGAACTATTGGATTCCAAAAGTGCAGTGCATTATTTTGCGTTGATTCGACTGAAGAGCGAGCAAAATGATCCGAGTATTCAAGCCGAGTGCGAATTGAGCCAGATTTTAAGGCTATGGTCCGAATAATACCAAACTTAACTCCAAAGTAACCAAATCGGTTAACAAGTGGTCACTGAAAATTCGGGATACTTATGGTCGTTCGCACCACACATTACTAGTTGCTTATAGGCGTCGTTTTTGGTAATCGCGGTCATCTAGTGTAGCACCATTGCCGACGTCATTAATTAAGTCGTCAGCAGTTTGCGCCAGCGGTCGTAGTTTAGAATTTAAATTTATGATAAAAATAAAAATATTATTTGTCGTAAATAAAGTAGAGTATACCACTCGCAATAATGGCTATTATTCCCTCGGAATGTTACTCCCTCGCCGCTAACGCGGCTCAGTTCGTAAATATTCCTCGGGAATAATAGCTATCCATATTGACTCGTGGTATAATCTATTAATAATTTTCAGTAACATTATTAGGCAAAGAGGAAGATGCAAACGTGATCTAAAAAAGAGTTGCTAGAATTGGAAATTTTCCCCGAGGATAATCAAGCATAATCTTATGCTGGATTATGTGATGTGTCAATTGTGTCATTCTCCCCTAACTCCCCTGCCATCAAATTCTGGGATACTCGAGAGTCGAGGATCAGGAGTACTTCATTTCTTCTATGAGAATATACCGAAAATCACCATTTCTACATTTAAAACCGACGAAAAAATTAGCTTACTAGCACAGCCTGAATCGCAAGCATTCCATCGAGGTCTGCGGGTAGCGTCATCATTATAAGCTGCTGATAGTGACGTCACCTTCAGTCATAGAATTTGATGGTGAGGGAGTTAGAGGAGTATGACACAATTGACACATCACATAACCCAGCATAATCATAACATTAATTATTTTGCTTGATCCTCGCGAAAAATTGCCTTATGGTAAATAATGTAGTGAAACCAAGTATGCATAAAGCAAAAGCCTGCGGAATCATAACATGTGGTGCAAACACCCTACGTCAAGGCGAGAAACGACACGCTGTTACGTCATCACTGGTGCTTTGTCATGGTGGGGGCTTAAGATTTGAACTACACAGGCCTTATGATGATAGGCTATCCTGTAGTAGTATGTGTATTTAGTATTGAGGTGTATTTAGAGAGCGCAAGTTTTAGTCACTAAACCAGATTTCAAGAAACCGAGGTCCAAAAGTAACCACTTGTCCAGGAATTAGAGTAATTTGATTACTTTCAAACCGGACCATTACCCTGGTTAAATTCGGACCGAATCACTACTATGCCAGTTCTATTTTGCAGTGCGCGGTTATTGCACTCTTACGGTAGAACACTGCACTGACTACACTCGAGGTCATCCAATAATTTATGTTCGAGCTGATACAGATCCTGAGCGAATATGCCCGCTCGATTTCACATTTCACAGTGGAATTTTAGCAGTACTGAACTGCTTAGAGCAGGGTAGTCGAATACGCCATAACAGATTGTGTTGTTTCAAGTTCATTGATCCCAACACACAAATTTTCACGAAACAAATTTAAAATTTTTGGGATTGAATGGCTACTATGCCAGCTCTATTTTCTAGTGCAATTATTGTAATACTTTCACTGTACAACAATGTATAGAGGGAGTCAATGTTAAAAATGTATGTTGGAGTAGCATGATCGAGCAAAATTGTTCCACTACCGTTACGGAGCACGGGCAGAGTATTCGAGTTTTCGACAAAGCGCCATCAACGTTCGTGCTAACAGGAACTGAGATTTTTAGAGGTGCTAGGAAAGAACACTTAGAAATAATACAGAGCAGAAAGACAGTTCAAATTTTGATATTTCGCACTAATGTCTAACCTAGGATCGGGGTGAAATCGCTACAATCGTTGGAAACTGACATAAGCCATCATTATAACCTCAAATATTAATTTTGGCGGGAAACGGGGAAACCGGCCAGTAAATAAATAAGTGCAAAGCAAAAATTGTATTTAATCTTCAATCGAATTCAAAATAAAACAAAATATGGATAGCCAGGCCAAATTTGATGAATCCCATCTTCGAGATCTACTACCGCTGTATTATAAACGATTGTTTCCAGCAGCGCACTTTTACAAGTGGTTGAGTTATGGTAAGTAATTTTAGGTCTTCACACCCTCAATTTAATTTTAACTACCCCTTTTGAGTATACAATATTTTGGGAAAATAATTTTAGGTATACCTAATTTTACTATAATAGAACATTATTAACTTCAAAATACTTAAATCTATTCTAGGTAATGCTTCGACTTTTGCCCATAGAGAAATCTCATTTGCTCTAGAGAATGATATCTATCTTCGTTTCCAATCCTTTGACACCTACAAGGAGTTTGTTGAAGAACTGTATAAAAAAAATCCAATTAAAATCGATATTGGGCCGATTTATCTAACAAAACCGAAAGCAAGAAACATGGGCCAAGCATTGCAGGCATCGGCAAAGGAAATGGTATTCGATATCGATCTCACAGATTACGATGATGTGAGAACCTGTTGTTCTGGTGCGGATGTTTGCACTAAATGTTGGAAGTTTATGGCGATTGCGAGCAAAATTATCGATACTGCCTTGAGGGAGGATTTCAGATATGTAAATGTGCTATGGGTATTCTCAGGAAGAAGAGGTATTATTTTATACTTTTAGTAGATGAAATTGTTATTTAGATGTTTATTTTTACTCAGGTATTCACGCCTGGGTTTCAGATGAACATGCACGAGGCCTAGATATCAATGGAAGGCCAGCCATAGCTGAATATTTAACAGTTCTCAAGGAAGGCATGAAAAAAAAGAAAGTTTCTTTGACAGGGCATATACATACATCAATATCGTAAGTTCATATTTGTGTTATTGTTTATCTTAGAACCCAGTGAGATACTATCTACTGTACTATAGACTAGATATAGGTCCTGAGATTTTTCATAAATTCACTGTACTTGACATTCAATTTTAGGAGAGCTCTAAAAATTATCGACAAATATTTCCCCACCATTGTCAAGGAACAAGATATTTTAGGCACTGATGAAAGACTAAAAAACTTTTTATCAATATTAGATGATAATGTAAGAACACAATTTAAAGATTGCATGACAAAAGTGACTACCTCTGCTGAAAGATGGGAGGCGTTTGAGAGGAAATTTATGCAACTGCAACAAACCAACGAGATACCGAGAAATTTAAAAAACCTCAGAGAAGAGATTAAGCTGCAATATGCTTATCCCAGGTTGGATATTAATGTAACAAAAGGAATTACCCATTTATTGAAAGCGCCGTTCTGTGTCCATCCTAAAACTGGAAAAGTTTGTGTTCCTTTTAATGTTAAACATGTTGATAATTTTGATCCAAATAATGTGCCAACCATAAGGTAATTTTGCTCATTTTTATAGACAGGATTTTTATTTATTGTTATTTTAGTATGATTATCAATGAAGTGGATGCCTACGACAAAAAAACTAAAGAACAAGAAGAAACTCTTATGGAAACTGATGAGCCTTCAGTTACCAATCAAGTAAAGATAAAGGATTATAAAAAAACAAGTCTTTTGAGACCAATCAATTTGTTTTCGGAGTTTTTGAAAAATTTAGAAAAAGATACTAAAAAGAGAGTCGATCCTTTCTAAGTGAGGAATTTTGTAAAAAAAAAACATATAATTTATTTTCTATTCTGCTTTTATAATAAATAAGGATTTTTACAAGTCTTTTAAAGCCTGTCGCTTTTATTTTTGTCACAGCTTTGGGGTGTGTGACATAAACCCTTCGACCCATAAACCAAAGTCTGGTTTTTTTCAATAGGACACCCTATATAATAATAGCTCATTAGAAAGCTCTGCCTTTTCTGGTTTCAATGATATAAAGTTCGATAGGCTTATCTCTAACAGTTTTTGAGAAAAAAAAATATTTTGGTTTTTTTCATAAGAAACAATGTGTTGAAAAGAGATCTTTCTCAGTTTCCTTACAGAAAACCTTTTCTTACACATTGCTTCTTATGACAAAAACCGAAATATTTTTTTTCTCGGAAACTGTTAGAGATAAACCTATCGGACTTTATTTATATCATTGAAATCAGAAAAAGCAGAGCTTTCTAATGAGCTATTTATATATAGAGTGTCCTATAAAAAAAAAAAAGACTTTGGTCAATATCTTGGAGATGGGACCAACTAGAAAAAAACTGAGAAAATCACTGAATTCTGCCTGAAAAAGTGCTTCTAGAAAGCTTTTATGGAAATCAATAATCTTCATAAACAAAAAAGTTATAATGGTTTCACATTATTGCTCAAAATCGAGAATTGAATCACCCTCTAGCTGCTAAACGGTTGAAGATATCAAAATGCGGTTTGCACCAATCAAAATTTCATGAAATTTGAGTCTCAGAGCGGGGAGTTAATTTTTTTGTATCTGGCTCAGAAATTGATGTTTCCTATTAAAAGTATCCAAATTGGCCCACCCTCTACAGGGTTGCCCAAATTCGAGCCTCATCATTGGGATCTCGGTAACCGTACAAGAGATACGGGGTCGGTTAAATTTTGGCAAAGTTGCGCAATTTTATGACCAATAGAATGCTGTTTTGAAACTAGAAAAATTCCGAATACTTCTGGAGATATTCGTAAAGAACCGAAATTTTGTAAAATCGTTTTTATTTTTTCCCGGGCTTATTTGAAAAGCAATTTTAAAATAAATGTCACTTCATCATTGTCAGTTTTTCCCCTTTAGAAGATGGTGCTACTAAATTTAAAATTCGACGTAATGTCTTCAGGCGGCCATCCTCAACTTATGTTTTTTAAATACGGACCTAAATTTTTTATTTGCGATTTTGTCATATTTGGGCATCCTAAGACCGATACTGTTTATAATTTTTCAATAACCCCGTAAAAAAAACAGGTCAGTATATAAAAAAAATAAATTGATGATGATTCCAGAAGAACAAAACGTTGGATTTCAAATTTATTACCGCCACCTTGTAGAGAAGAAAAAGTTACAATGGGAATGTGAAATTACTTTTTCAAAATCTTTTTAAATGGAATCAGGAATAAATTTAAGAAAAACGAGAAACACATGTTTTTTCGTATAGTTTTCATTTTTTCCTGATTTTATTTAAAAAGATTGTGAAAAACTAATTTTACATTCCCATTGTCACTTTTTCTTCTCTACAAGATGGCGGTATTAAATTTAAAATCCAACGTTTCGTTCCTCTGAAATCATCATCAATTTATTTATTTTTTAAATATGGACCAGCTTTTTTTACTGTGTTATTGAAAAATTATAAACAGTATCGGTTTTAAAGTGCCCAAAGATGACAAAATCGCAAATAAAAAATCCAGGTCTGTATTTAAAAAAAAGAAGTTGAGGATGGCTGCCTGAAGACAAAACGTCGAATTTTAAATTCAGTAGCATCATCTTCTAAAGGGGAAAAAGTGGCAACGATGAAGTGACATTTATTTTAAAATTGCTCTTCAAATAAGTCCAGGAAAAAATAAAAACGATTCTACAAAATTTCGGTTTTTTCTGATATAGGTATATATATCTTGTAGTCCAGGAGGCAGTGAAATTTTTTAGCACTTATTTCCCCAGTTGGTATCTATGAAATAGTTTGTTCTCCTGGTGATACAAAGCAAGAATTTTTGAGTCTGGCTAAAATTTTCGGATGGGTTCACAAGATTAATGAAAAATACAACTACGCTTATTTTCCCAGACATAATTATTTCACATTTACTACAATGGAACATAAAGTGTATGAAAATAATAATTTGGCTTATCTCAGATAGTGAAAGTGAGTCTGGCTGAAAATTTTCGGGTCTTCAATTTTTCACTTGCTAGACATATTATTCATACTCACAGATTAGTAAATATATGTATTTTCCTTAGAATTACTTACCCTACAACTCTATTGGGAAGTATTCGGAATCTTTCTAGTTTCAAAACGGCATTCTATTGGACATAAAATTGCGCAACTTTGCCGTAATTTAACCAATTCCGTATCTCTTACGGTTACCGAGATCCCAATGATGAGGCTCGAATTTGGGCCACCCTGTACTCTTCAGTCCTAAACTTTGGAATTATTATACAGGGTGAGTTACTAAGCGCGTGGTTGTCCATATCTCCTATACTAACGGAGATCGAAGAAAAAACTAAATACAAAACTTGTAGATAAACATGAGTACTACATTCCTAAATTATTTTCCAGTATACAGGGTGGCCCAATAACTAGTAGTGACATAAAGTTATGTTTTTTAAATGACTCCCCCTGTATATTATGACATTTCTGGATTCTGTGGAAAATTCTAGACATATTTACGATGTCATATAGGTACATACCTTCAACTGTTTCGGAAATATTGACAGTTGAAAACTGACTTTTTTGCATCTTTGACTGTAAAACCTGAACGGTTAATTTTACAAGAAAACGGATTTTACATTCCTGTCTTATATTTTCGTAAGCTAGGATTTGACACCAAATATGAATTTAACCGAAAATTAATAATTTAGGCGAAATTTTCAATCATGGATTAAATTCAAGGTTGGTGTCAAATGATAGGTTATGAAAAACTAAGAAAGGAATGTAAAATCCGTTTTCTTGTAAAATTAACCGTTCAGGTTTTACAGTCTGTCAAAGATGCAAAAAAGTCAATTTTTAACTATAAAGTCTGTTTTTTTTTAAAGATAATTAGGTGCTAGCTGACGTCTCACACATAACCTCAATGACATGTTTGTCCCCCTAACGAAAATCACTCTATATCCTGTTCACAATCCGATGTCCACAGGTGCAGGAAAATTTATCACCTTTCCCTATCAAATAGCATTGAAAGGTGATAAATTTTACCTGTACCTGTGGACATCGGATTGTGAACAGGATATAGAGTGATTTTCGTTAGGGGGACAAACATGTCATTGAGGTTATGTGTGAGACGTCAGCTAGCACCTAATTCCCCAAGTCAAAAATTTAGTAACTTTACTAACTTTGTTGGCAACACAAGCCTTTTCTACACAAAAAATTTGAAAGCATTGACAATTTTAAATTGCATTGCCAACATAATGTCATTTTGACTTTTATCTTTAAAAAAAAAACAGATTTTATATCAATATATTTCCGAAACAGTTGAAGATAGGTATCGGGTCTTCAAAAAAAAAACCAATCGAAGATTGCTTTGACTACGAAAACGTACGTCGCATTACTGTTTCTTTATTTGTCAGGATTTTTGACAGGACATTTTGACATTAAAGTTCATTGACAAAATTAAAGACAAATATTGCTAAGACATACGTTTAAAAAACCATAGCAATCTTTGATTGATTTTTTTTTTGAAGACCCGATATATGACATTGTACAGGGTGGTCATTTAATCTTGATAACATTTTAAACTGTCATAATTTCTTTATTTTTGAAGTTATTTGAATAAATAAAAAAACATACTGTAGAGTTGGTTTCCAAGTTTCAGATAGGGTCAACAAAAAATGATATATTTTGACAATTATGCACACAAATAACATTTTTTTGAATGGAACACCCAGTAAATTTTTAAATTCTTTGATAATATGTTTCATTCTGATTGCAATATACAATACAATACACTTTAATACAATTTATTACTCCATATTTACATGCAGAAGTTTTTTATTGATTCTAATGGAAAATTCTGTCTACCTACCTACCTTTGCAGGTAATCTGTGTAGGTAATCAATATTTGTAGTTAGAATAAATGAAACATTTCTGCATGTATATATAAAGTGAATTCTATTCACCTGTATTGTATTGTATATAATGCAATTAGAATGAAATATATTATCAAACAAACTTGAAATTTACTGGGTGTTTCATTTAAAAAAAATGCTTTTTGTGTCCAAAACTGTCAAAATATAGGTATTAGTCTTTTGTTTTTTGTCCATCCTATCCAAAACTTGGAAAACAACCATACAGTATGTTTTTTTATTTATTTAAATAACTTTAAAAATAAAGAAATTATGACAGTTTAAAATGTTATCAAGATAAAATGACCACCCTGTACATGAAATATGTCTAGAATTTTCCGCAGAATCCAGAAATGTCATAATATACAGGGGAAGTCATTTAAAAAACATAACTTTGTGTCACTACTAGTTCGATATCCGTTAGTATAGGAGATATGGACCACCGCGCGCTTAGTAACTCACCCTGTATAATTTGGGAATGAAGCGGGAAAGTCCAAGACTTTAACCCTTTTCACGTGGCTCCGGTTTAACAAACCGCTCAAATTCGAGTGGTATCGATCACGTCACTTTAGCCGCTTTCCAGCTGTGTGCTTCAAGCACGGTGCAGCACAGTGTTCTGTGTTTGAAACGCAAAAGTTAGCAGGTTTTCGAAGCGCATTGCGGCTGGAACACGAATACACGCTTGAAGCATTTGCGCGCGCAAAAGCGCGATTGCGTGCTCAAAAGCGTCAGCTGGAAAGCAACTTTTGTAACCGGGTTAGAAAACGGTATGTCATTTCTCTAACCAGCTCCGCGAGATGGTTACGTTTTGGTTAGAACAAAAACAATAGAAAATTTGTAAACAACAAAGAGCGGGAAAATTGTGACAGGTGTAAACTGAAATAATAGTAGATTATACCTCGAGTCAATAATGATAGCTATTATTCCCGAGGATTATTACGAACTGAGCCGCGTTAGCGGCGAGGGAGTAACATTCCGAGGGAATAATAGCCATTATTGCGAGTAGTATACTCTACTTTATTTACGACAAATTAATTTATTTGAGATTTTCAATGAACAAATTTCATCCGTCTCATCATTTTCAATACAAATCCACAAGCACTACACGTTTGACACTGACACTTTTGTGGAATAATGACCATTAATCCCGCTACTCGTCATTAATCCCTGGAGGAATAACATATGTCATTATACTGCCAAAATCACAAATATAATACGCACATTATACATTAGTCGTAAATAAAGTGATATTAAGTTATGTGTTTTGTTAATATTTTAAAGTTTCTACCTACCTATAATCAATTGACGAACATGGAAGTAATTAAAGTTAAAATAAATAATAGGGACTTTTTTTTTTCAAGATACACGGGAAATTTTGGTGCAGTTCCTAGAAGGTAAATCAACCTATAAATATACTCCTGGACAAAATTATCGCACCACTGCTTATGGTGTTTATGTGCAGTAGTGGTGCGATAATTTTGTCCAGGAGTATATTTGACAGGTAGTTGGATTGCTTAAATTTTAAAATAACATTTTTCTAACCGTTCGTTTTCAAGTGGCATTTTCAATAACGTCAAACTTGACACCGCTACTAACCGTTTTGTAACCCAGTTAGTTTAAACCGGAGCCACGTGAAAAGGACTTTTGGTTGTAGTCTTTGAATATAAAACTACAGGAAGGAGCATAACTTCGAACCTGCGCGATCAAAATATGTGGATGTTGCATATAGTCGATTAGTATTTCCGGTTTGGCAGTGGTGTATATTTATTTAAATATGATTGTCAATATTATGAGGCACTCGTTTCGCACTAATCCCAGTGCTTATTATCACTTAAAACCTCTAAAATCCATTAAAGGGGGTGTGCGCCAAAAATTAAAGTTTTAGTGTAAAAAAATCTAAGAATAACTGTTCAAACCTCGTTATTCTACGATAAACCATCGCTGAGATATACCGCTTTAAAGTGTGGACGACGCTCTCGTGACGTCACGAAAACTTCGTCCAGCGGCGCTCTGCATTGTTAATTTGATTGTTCCCGGCACGCGTGAGTGGTTTTTGTTTAGATTATTGCAGGTAACACAGGAAAAACATTATGTAAATTTAATTAATTCCACTTTCTCGTGCGTCGCTTGAGCTTTCGTGACGTCATAGGGTGAGATGCGGTACCTTCATAGAGCCATATCTGCAGTATTATTTGTCATAGAGGGGTGCGGATTTCACTGTTATTCTTAGATTTTTTTTCTCTTTTTTTGAGATGAATTGGTTTTTTTGGCGCACACCCCCTTTAAACATCCACTTGAATGAGGACACAGCGAACCACCAAAACAAATGATGAGTCCATACTTGGAGGCTCAATATGGCCGTTTCCGTCCCTGCGTTGTCTGTAGTGACAGATAGAAAACGCTCCTTCCTGTAGTTTTATATTCAAAGGTTGTAGTCAATGGGTGGTATGAATAAAAACGAAGTACTTGCTACTACTACAAGTATTAGTATGTTCTACGTAGTATTTACTTCAAAACGAAGTAGACTCTACATTTCGAAACTACCGGAACTTAGCATATGCTTCGTTGTGAAGTAAATACTACGAAGAATATACTAATACTTGTAGTAGTAGTAGGTACTTCGTTTTTATTCATACCACCCAATAGTCCTTTTCACGTGGTCCGGTTTAAACTAACCGGGTTACGAAACAGTTAGTAGCGGTATGTCAAATATGACATACCGTTTTCTAACCCGGTTACAAAGTGACGTGATGGATACCTACCACTCGAATTTGAGCGGTATGTTGCGGTTCGTTAAACTGGAGCCACGTGAAAAGGGTTATAGGTTGTAATAAACCTTAGTTCTTTTCACGTGGCTCTGGTTTAAACTAACCCGGTTACAAAACGGTTAGTAGCGGTATGTCAAGTGACGACGTTATTGAAAATGCCACTTGAAAACGAACGGTTAGAACATTGGGTTAGAAGAATGTTACACCGGAGCGAGTAGCTCCAGTGTTTTAAACTCTTGAAAGAAATACAACTATCAAAACATGTTGAAACCTATTCGTATCAAGGGAGTATTCGGTGTTGTACGATTTCTATTTGGTACCGAACAAGAGACCTAAACCGAATTTCCGCGACGAATGTAGTTCATCAATAGTTCGTCTTGTGACGTCATGTGTTTGAACGCTGGCTAAAAGTTGCGTCCATGCTTCTGGCGAACTGCGTTCAATATGATGTCATGAGTTTCTCGCGAAAGCGTTTGTGTTCATGAAATCATGGAAGTAGTTCGTCGCGAAAATTCGGTTCTGCCTAAGTTCCGAAATCAACTGTCAGTACTGAATCTACTGGACGCCGTTCCGATATTATTTTCAGTACACTGGATTCAGTCGATTCAGTGATGATTTGACCACAAAAGTACGCTGTTGAAATCGGAACGGCAAATGACAGTAAAATCAGCACAGTAATAAATCAAGTACTGGCAGTTGATATCGGAACATAGCCTATACATAAGCACCGATTCACACATTGAGGTTTCACACCTCCTCGGTAGCGAGCGAAAAACAACCGAACACGAATCGAACCGACTGAAACCAGAAACCGTATACGTGTGAATCCGGCCTAAGGCAGTATCCCACAGTTGTTTGTCTTGCTTTAAAAGTATACGAGAGAAAAGGATAAATATACATCAATTTACTGAACGTGTTATAATAGCGTTTTCTGTTGGTAAAACTCGTGCTGTCCGAGTTCTGCACTCAACACTGAATCAGTTCACGTTTAGTGCAATCCCAAAAGAACATGAATTTGGCGCGGTTTGTCATTCTTTTCAAATTTATTATTTAACGATCCCTGATCCCTAACCTAACCTAAAGATATTTTCAATGGAATAAAAATTAAAAAGGTTTGAGTGTATGAAAAAGTTGAAAACGGAAGTTTTTCCTGTATGTAAAGTACATAATTATGCTGTCTCCCGAGATGTGCAGAAATAATTTCAATGATACCTGCGTTGAAATTAATTTTTATGTCAATTTCAATAATAAAATTTTGAATTTTTGGTATCTCATTATCCCTGGCAAACATTCAGGCCTATGATGTATCCTGTCCTGTTATTTCAACGTCTGTGTTAAGGCTCAACATCTATTTCTGTCTCTATTTTGACGTTGCTGTTAAAATAACAGAAAATGATACATCATAGGCCTGCAATTGTAGATAATAAATAATAGGTCTGTTTCTGCAGAAATCACAAACCAGTCAGAGTAAATTTCATTGGTTGAAAACAGTCAGAAACAGTCAGAAAACTAGTTTCAACCAATGAAATTCACTCTGACTGGTTTGTGATTTCTGCAGAAACAGACCTAATAATTCTTCCTCTTCATCGCTGTCGGTCGACGAAGATAAAAAATATAGAATTTTATCAATATCGATATCCATAATTTTTTGGTTTTGTTTATACACAGACTTTCCGGCACTTTACGCCATCTTTGTTGTTCCCTGACATTGGCACGAGCTCTCTGACCTCGTGCTGGAAAAGTTGCACGAGGGCAATAATTGATTGCCGTGGTTTTCCAATAGAACATAAAAACCCGCTCGGAAACTGCCAACAGAACATAATTGTGCACGAGTGCAGCACGAGTTTTACCAACAGAAAACGCTATAAGATTCGAAAAGGAAAGCTAGGTTAAGATTATGTCATTTTTATTGATTTTTTTTTCAAATTTCCCTCGGATATAAAAGGTTGTAGCAGGGATAAGATAAGTGATAACTAAACATTCTAAAATAATTATTAGTAGTGAACACAACACAACATAGTGTTTATTAAACAAAATAATAAAGTTCTTCATTTAACAATAACATGGACGACCTAAATCCTGCAGAAGTTCTGAAGTTTTTGGAGTTTGTTAACAACTTAAAGCACCTTCCAAGAAGAGGGTGGATTTTTAGTGAAGTTAAAGACCATGAGACGATTTCTGGTAAGTTATATTTGGTGTTGTCATAGGTTTAAGGTTTCCCTCTAATTTATATGACCTTGTTGGTATCTAAAAAATCTACAAGAAAAAAAAAGCATTGATCTAGGGTTAAGAGAAACACCTACTGATTAAATTTGTTTATTTTTATTTGTTATCAAGGAGCTCCAATTATAAAAGTTTCATCTTGTGATAAAATAAAGGTGAAAAAGTGGTACGGGTACTACCCAGCCTAGCAGTTGAGTCATAATAGAAAATACCAAAGGTTAAGTGAAAGTGAGAGGTCAAGAAAACAGTGAAATCATTTTCTGGGCCTTTAAACTGAAGAGATTTGGATTATTGGGATAAAAATTTGTTGAAAATAGTAGTTTTCCTAATCAGTGCACAAATTTATGTTTGCCCGTGCGCGAAAGCGATAGAGCTCGTGTTCCTCTACCGGCACACCAATTTTGAGCCCGATCGGGATTTTGACCAGACGTTTCGGAATTTTAAAAAAATAATAAAAAAATCCCCCAACCGTTGGGGGAAAGGGTTCCCATGTCCCATCCTTTACTGTCTTCATAAAGGGGGACTAGGGTTTTCATTTAAAGGTCGTGAAGGGGTTCCATTTTTCAGATATCATGTTTTGCACCCCTTTATTTTACCTCCTGCCAATCGCAAGATCTACTTTCTATCTATCCCCCTGCAATTTCTTGAAAATTGCAATATAAAAAAAGTATTTTTTTACAATTTATTTGGCTATTACCTATAGTTTAATAGTAAACCGGCGAATCAGTGGTGAAATAACCCTGGGGCATTTTTTTTTGAAACAAGATATATTACAAATGAGGTATAAACATTTATAAATAGGTACATATTTTTTTAAGATTCCGTAAACAGTGCTTTAAGCACTGGCCTCCAGAATAGATACCTCAAGTTAAGCTCTATTTATGCTAAGTTTTAGTCTAATAAATACAATTTCCAAATTCATTTTACCCCAAGTTCCCAAGATAATGTTTCTTCAAATCATTGTGAAAAGACATAAATATGTATGTTTTTTATTTTTGTTGGTAATTTATTGAATACTTTAGAGGCTTGAGTGATTGGGTCATACAAACTTATGCTTGTTCTAGTTTGGATTCTGTATACTATGTATTTTGTACCTATTCTATTTCTAAACTATTAAATCATTTAAAAGAAGATATGTATATTGTGATTTTGCATTTTAAAATTAATATCACCAGTAATTAAACTTTGTATAGTTTCGTGGTGAATTTCAAGAGTATATTGAGTATAAAAAAATTTCATGTCACTCCAGTTTGTGCTATGGACTATGGCGAGGACTATGGACTACTTCTAAAATTTAAAAGTACATATTATTTATCTATTTACAATAGCGATTAGAATTAGCTATTCATCCATTTTCCCACACTACTTTGCAAGTAGTGATTTATTTAAACTGGCAATTCTAAATTATTCAAATTCAAAAAAGTTTTATTGCCTCAAGTATAGTGATGTGAGTCGAGAATATTCCCATGCAAATATTCGCGAACATTGGGAAATTTCCGAGAATATTCGCCAATAAAAAATGGAAACGTTCTTCTGAATGAGAATATTCCTGGAAACTTTCAATCAAAAACTCTCAAAAGAATATTTCCGACTATTTCACTAGAGTGTATTACACCAGCAATAAATTCGGAATTCACCTGACAATAATGCTACCTGGACAATACCAACAACATGGTATTTCAGCGACCATCTTTTGACATTGTCAAACTGGTATTTTTAATTTGAAGTTTTTATTCATAATTTTGCAATCTATTTATTTTCAAAATCTTACGTGAAATAGTCATGACAAATACCACTCGAGAAAAAATTGTGTAGGCAAAATTGTTCTCAAGGTTTTATTCAAGTTTGTTGCTTTTCGGCAATTTCGCTCATTCGCAAAATTGCCAAGCAACAAACTTTCATACCTTTCGAAAATTTTGCCGACAAAATTTTTTCTCTTGTGATATTATATATGAGAATTTTTGAGAATATTTCCAAAAACTTTCCAGAAGAATTTTATAAAAATGCGAGATTATTGCGAATACAAGGTCTCAGTGACGTCATTTCAATTTATGTGGATGACATAGCCCAGTCCAACTGTCTTTACGGAAACGCTGATCCGATTTACCTGATCACCAGCTGATGTATGTACCTACAGTTTGTCTTTTTTAAAAATAATCTTCATTGAAGAAAGATAAAAAAAAAGAGCTGAGAGATTGGGCTAATCGGATCAGCTTTTTCCTTATAGCCTTATTCAACCGTACATTACTACATAGTTTTAGTTGAATTTTTAGCTGATCTTACAGAAAAAATAGGTGTTTTTCTTGGTTTATAGTCTATAGTCAGTACACTACAATAATAGGTAAATAAAGCTTACTACGATTTGTCTGATTTAGCTATAAATAAAAAATAAAAAAAAAAAACAATATTTCCATAAGTTCCCGAAAGTGTCCAATATTCCCCGAAAGTTTCCGAGAATGTTCGCGCCTTTTGAATGTTTCGGGAATTTTACATCACTACTCAAGTACATAAAATTCTCATTGACAAAGACCTAAAAATAATCTTAAAATAAAATCATAATACATATATGTATACAGGGTGTTTCAGAAATGGCGTTACAAACTTTAAGGGCGGATATAACTCATCAAAATAAGAAAAAAAGTTCCTATGAATATGGGTCCGGGAACGGTTCGTTTCCTATTGGATCTAGAAATTCAAGAAAATGGAATGTTTTTTTGTATTATATTTCTCAATTTCTAAGATAAATAGCTCAAATTTTGTACACAGCGTATATCTTTTGTGCTTTTTCAAAAATGGTCACAATCTTCACGATAAATCAAGAGGTTGGTCTTTTTTGGGGGGTGAGACCACCCAAAACCACCCTAAATTTTTTATCAGCACATTTTCAACAATTTTTTTTGAGCCGTTCCCTTCTCCGTTTCATTGCAAAGGTTTTTGGTATCTTGCAATTTTTCTGTATCTCAATTAGTTATGGCAGTGTTTTCCAAAAAAAGATAAAACATCCCTTCATTAATCGTGAAAGTTATGGCTGTTTTTGAAAAAGGATAAAAGATATACGCTGTGTACGAAACTTCCAAGGAAATCTCAGCTATTTATCTTGAAAAAATAAAAATCTCCAAAAATTTTTTTTTTTTAATTTCTAGCACCAATGCCTCGGAAGCGAAACGTTTCTGTAGCTCGGAAACGAAACTTTTCCGGACCAATGTTCATAGGAACTTTTTTACTTATTTTGATGAGTTATATCTATCCTTAAAGTTTGTAACACTATTTCTGAAACACCCTGTATTAGTAGATACATGTACTAGTATACTCAAATCAAAAAATTCTAAGTAAAATCTGTTTTTTTTTGAAGATAAAAGTCAAAATGACATTAAGTTGGCAATACAATGTAAAATTGTCAATGCTTTCAAATTTTTTATGTAGAAAAGGCTTGTGTTGCCAACATAGTTATTAAATTTTTGACTTGGGGAATTATCTTTAAAAAAAAAACAAACTTTATAAAATCTGCAATGGACAACAACAAAAAATAAAAGACGAGAACAAAATCCTAAACTAAATACACAATAAAATTTGTTCAAACAATAATAAGCCGAACCAACCAGCAACCTCTTAAAGGGGGTGTGACCTTAAAATACAACTTGCCTTCAGAAAATAAAGAAAAAAATTCTAAGAACTCTTGTAAAAATCTCGCATCGCTACCCAGAATAATAAGGTAGATACGCCTCAATAAAGTTTTGTCTATTCATCGCGTGACATCATAAACACACGCAAAAATTACAAAACCCGTTTAAAATGACGCAGCGAAAGGGGTGAGAACGGAAAAACAATATGATAACATCGATAATATATGACGCAAGCATGAGAGCAAACGCGCGCCCAGCGCCGGCCGGCGGACTCAGTTGGTGCTTATGACGTCACAGTGCTGGAATGGGAGCTTTATACCAAGGAGGTATCTTTGCAATGCTTGGTCATAGCCTAGTGCGGTTTGAAAATTTGTTCTTAGATTTTTTTGTTCTAAAACTTCCCTCCATAGCTTCCCTCCTAAAATGTCTCATGAAGAGGATGGATGTCGAATAGGTAGCATCATGGAACATAAATCTGTGCCAATTTTTGTAGATAAGTGTGGTACTGTTTCTAGAATAGGCAGACTATATAGGGTTAAGATTTTTTCTTTTTTAAAAAGGTCTGCAGTGAACTCTATTGTTAGCACCACCTAAGAGCCCGCTTCTGTAATATAAAAACAGTGTCCCAACAGTTTCTGGGAATAGAACCCCCAAAAGCAGATATCATCAGACTCAGTCAAAGTAAAATAGACCAATCTAGATAAGGAACGTCCCAGTTCAATGGCTATTATTCTGATTGCAAAACACCCAGATGCTATTTTCTTTGAAAGACTGACAATGTGAGATTTAAAACTCAATTCACTGTCAATAATAAGTCCACAGATTAACCCGCCCTAAAGATAGGAAACTCAGGCCTTTTTCCCTGTCCTTGTCTTACTCATGCAGCGAGTTGTATGACTGCCACAGCATGGTGGCGCTAGTTTGCACTTCGGTGTGTCCAGTATTGTGGCAGTAGTCACGTGGTTCCTGCCTTTTTTCAAATAATTTGTCTAATCAATTTGATTTGATTAATAAACCCTATATTTTTTGAAAATAAATAACATTTCAGTACTATCTCCTTCTTTAACAGAACAACAGAAAACCGTATTGAAAAAAAAAACACTAAAAAGTTGATAGGTCTTGTGCACAAATGACTCCTCAAGTGAATGACAAAAATTGCGAATAAATACCATCACTAAAACCATTTCCACAATGCTTACATGTAACATAAGGTCTCTTTTCTTAAAAACATAGGTATTAAGAAGTTAAAGTTTTACCAAAAATTGATAGAAAATCAAATAAAGAACACTAACACACATCAAACGGCTGACTAATGGAAAATATAATGACAAATTGTGATGACAAATTACCTACATTCATTCACAGATGACATTTGCTTGTGGCTTTGCTATACTAGCGCCGCATAGCTTTGGCAGTCATGAAACTCTCATACGTGTTATTTTTTAGACAGCTCTGAACGAACATTGAATAAGTCCCACAAACTTAGTCTCCTGAGACTGCGAGAAATTTACTTTATTGAATGTCGACCTGTCGACATTCAATAGAAACATTGTGGACGTTTGCGAATCCCTGATCGCATCTAAATGACAAAATATTTGTTTTAGTTGAATATAGCACCAGAAGATTAGAATCACAAGATTTGAGCTGCTGAAGATCTGTGTGAATAGCTTGTTTTAGACTCTGATGGTCATCACAGTGCCATAGAATTGTGGTGTCTTCTGCAAACAAAGTAAATTTCTCGGTAATATTTAGTGACGCAAGGTCATTTATGAAAATAAGAAATAAGAGTGGACCCAGTACCGATACCTAAGGTACACCCCAATCATTTTGCAAAATCACCGATTCAGACAATTCAATGTAAACCTTCTGATAATGATCAGACAAATAGGATTGAAACGGTCTAAGATTGAAACCTTAATTCTGCCCTGTTTATACCTTGCTGTTTTTTTTAGAGAGATCATGTGAACTTCACACAAAACGGCATTATGATCATTTTAGGTATTTCTAAATCCAACCAATAATTCAATAAAATATGTACTACTAACTTACCAATAAAATGAGAGTTGCCCCATTTTTTATCTATGTAAATTTTTGATTCAACCACAGAAAAATAGCTAATTGGATTTTAATGGCCTTTTTGAATATTCATTTATTTAGGTCACATGTATGCCATGGCCCTTATGACCTTCCTCCTAGGCAATGACTCAAAATTGGACAGACTCAAGTGCCTTCAACTGACCCTTGTGCACGATTTAGCTGAATCGATAGTGGGAGATATCACACCTCACGATAATATTTCTGAAGTTGTCAAACATCAGCAAGAAGATGAAGCTATGAAAGAGATCACTAGCCATATTGGTAGAAATTGTTCCTCCTATAAGTACAAGTTGACCTATTAACAATTATTGTTTTCAGGTGCAACTGGTTTATTAATTTACAACTTGTACAAAGAATATGAAGCCAAAGAAACCCCTGAAGCAAAATTCGTTAAAGATTTGGACAGATTCGATTTGTTATTTACGGCAGTGAACTATGAAAAACGCGATAATACACCGTTCAAGTTACAAGAGTACTTTGATGCTTTGCACGGAAAATTTGAAAATCCTTTCATCAAGAAACTTGTGGCTTCTTTAGAGGAATCTAGAACTCAGCTGGCGGCCCCCGAAATTGGAACGCCCACCAAAGAAGTATAACAGACAAAAAGTATTTTGTTTATTTGTAATAATTGACAAATAGTTTTTATATTTTCTTGATTAATTTTTGTAGTTTCAGGTATTAATAATATTGGTATCTTATAATCTGTAATAGGTCATAATTGAACTTTACTACTTTAAGTACCTGATTAATTTAAGTAATTATTTTGTTAATACCTGATACGCCTTTAATGTTTAAGTTTGTTAGACAAACTATAAAGCTTTCTATCAAATAGTTATTGTGATATAATCACATTTTTTTTTTGGCAAGATAATGATAGCCAAGTTGTGTCAGTTACCCAAAACATTTTATTTTGCCATTTTTTTTCATTCAGTATATACCGAAATAATACACAGAAAAATAATAAAATGTCTTGTTTTTATTTTTTTAATAAGACTTCACTGGAATGGAACAAGAAATTGAGACATTATAACATTTAAATAGATCCTAAATATGATATTATTAAAAATATAGATATTTTATCATTTCGAATGATTACTAGAAAGCATGTAACAGCATAAGCAACAAGACCAAACCTAAATATTGTATCTACAGAACAATTAAATTATACAACGGAAACTACAATAATTATTATTATAAAAGTGAAATACAAACAGAAATTGGTGCACCTTGCCATACATAATTATCCTAACATTTCATGTGAATTAAATTTTTATTAAAAGAAAAGAAGTGTAGTTGTTCAATAGCAGCCTTTTTTCCCAAGAATGTCCTTCCAAACATTTTCATAGTTATGAAGTTTTTTGTCACAATATGTAGTTCCTGTTATATAAATTGACCTTCCCAAAACCAATCTAATTTCGAACAGTTTTTAAGCTACACGCCTTATAAGTACTATCTTTTATTAAACAAAAAAAAAAAATACAATCAAAATAATAAAGTGTAGTAATAATAATAAAACTAGAATTTGAACAATAATAAAATCAGTTTCATTTTACAATGTTAATAATATTTTCTGTCTAAATGTACACTTAAAAAAAATAATCATAGAAATAATAATAATAATAATATTTATACATTCTTTTATATACCAACAATTTCATATACGTTTGTTTAAAAAAAAAGCCTATAAATAGAGTATCACAATCTACAAAGTGTATACTGGTAAATGGGTGAAAATTTCAGTATACAGAATACAGTTTAAAAATATAAAAGAGTTATATATTTGGGGCTGATTAAATGCATTGCAAAGGATTATTCTAAAGTTTCTTTGCAGAACATTTTTATCCAACGTCAACCCAAAAATCAAATAAATTACAATTAACAGCATTGTTGTAGAACTTTTAAATATGCTTAAGATATAATGGACAGATTTGTATAAAGTTTTGATAAGATATTTTCTCAAATTTAGTCCACACCGGCGAAACCTTGTGAACCTTCTATTGCTTTGATAAGTTTCTCTTTTAATTGGGCATAGCTTTCGTATGGTGGCAAATCCAATCTATTGAAACTTAAAAAAAAAAAACAATTAGCCAGACACGAAAACAAGAAAATATTACTTACCATGTATGTGCCCTAGGGAAATTATCTGTCGATCCCCATCTTTCGATTGTGAATAGTTGCGGACCATTGCTGCCATATAATTCTTTGAATCCGTTCATGGGAACTCTGGATGTTCCCGTCACAAATTGCAACAGCCTAGCTCTCATTTCGTTACTGAATGACAACACAACCTAAACCGAATTGATGAAATAATTGACACATTGCATGACGCGTTAGGCATAACTGCCTGACAGTGATGTTTTCCTTCAGGCCACGTTGGAGATACAGGGTGACAATTTTAAAAGTAGCAATCGGGAATATCTCTTAGACAAAAAATACTATCAGGAAGATCTCAAATACCTATGTATTGGGTATTGGAGGGGGAACCAAAATGAAGCATTTTTTGAGTCACCCCTCCTCCCCCCCACCCCCTTACAAGGTAGCTGCCCTAACATATTTTTTTCAAATAAGAACGTACCTTGTGTTGTACATTGTTAGATAGCTCGTTGTTTTCCGTCTACAGTCTTATAGCAAAATCCTAAATTGTACAATTAGTTTTCGAGATATCGGTGTTTAAAAGTAAGCACATTTTGAAAACTAGTAGTTTTGACTACCTTTGAGTAGTAATATTACTCTACTTTACGGAACTCTCTATCGTATGGGGTTTTCGAGGAAATCGAGTTGGAAATTTTGAACAAAATGTCGACCAAATTCCAACTTTGAAGCTCAATATCCAGGAAACTTCACAAGTTGCAAAATAGTATATTTCCTAACTAGCGCGGAAAGTGCCACTTTTCCGCACGAGTTAGGAACACTATTTTTTCTACGAGATAGAAGGAATGTACCTACGTAATGTAAATTTTAACACCAATATTTGATAACATTTCTTTTGCAACACCTGGTATTAAAAACAAATCAAGTAATTTTTTCTTAATATAAATTAGTTACTCTCACAAATAAAACTTGTTAATTTATTAATAACAAAAAAACTAATTCTGAAATAATGTGCCTTAAACTGCAGACAAGAAAATCGAGAACTTTTAACAATAATTTGTACGTCTGATGTATCTATGAAATTTTCGAAATTTTTAAGCATAAAGTAACCATTCTATAGTAACTTCACAAGAAAAGTTAAGTTTAAATCAAAATAATTTGATAAATAACGTTATTGTGTTAATAATTCTCAATGCTGGTTGGTACATGTGTAAGCGTATCAGCTCATAATTTAAAAAGTGACATATGTCACTTTTCCGCACGCTCGTAGAAAAATCAATTTTGCATGGCTTATAGAGAATTTAATACTCTTTTTGATGATGTATAATTGTAGGCAATTTTCTCAAATATCATCAAAGGTATGAGCAATTATTCATGAGCATGTCAGATTCCAAAAAATGTCCAGAGCCAAAAATTAGATTTCCTTTTTGTTTTTTTTTTTTTTTTCTCATCGAAATTTTCAAATGTAACTGATGTTTCTTAATTTGGACTCGCTCTATCGATTTAAGACATCGAAAGACGGCAAAAAGGCTAACTTAAAAAGTCGAATAGACTTCCAAGATTGGAGAATAATTCAGGGTTTATACTTTAAATGAAATTACCAAAATATGTTGATTAGGTACCTATCGATAACAGATAACAACACTAAATTGTCAATATTTGAAACACAACAACTATTAACAAACTATTGAGAAACTGATGCAAGATAAATAATGAAGGAAGTTAGTAAGACGTCGCTAAGACTGTCGTCGACTGGACGTCCAAAACATGTCTTCAGCACGATGTTCTATTTTGGGCAAAAGTCATATGAGACCAAAGTGGTTCAAAATTAGACGTCTTTTTGACGACACACTGGTCATTGTGGTAAGCTGAGGTGTCTCCAAACGGTGAAAATTCAAAAGATACTTAAGTTTACTTATCTACTCTCTTTCCCCTAAATTTCTGCTTTCCAATTCTCAAATTTTACTGTCTAAATGTTTGTATATTCCCGGCTCTTGAATTGTTTTCTTCGGAATACCTCCAAACGGAGGAAATTCAAAAGCCTGAAATGGGAAATAATAGCATACTCATTATTTCTACTCTATTAGAAGTGTTCCAGTCCCAGAAGGTATGATAGTTAAGGTCATTACAGCCTTTCTAGGCTTTTCCTCATTCACCTGCCTCCCGACCTGGTGCCTTCCTGGCTTTCAGGCCTCTGGATTCCCTAAGGATTGACCTTATCCCTGGTTCACACAGTTTGTCAGCGGATTCATCATTCTCATCCTTATCTGGAAGTTCACTTAGGCAATCTTTCCGCTCTAAACTATCTGCGAAAGCTTAAGCTTTTACTTTATATTAGAGAACACCTAGGCAAACTCGTTAAATCTGTGAAATAGTCGAATGATGGTTTTCTTCTCACAGATATTTCTGCTTTTTAGAAATTTTCCTTAAATTTCTTCTCTTAATTTCTGAATTTTTCCGTCTCAATTTTTGTCTATTCCCGGCTTTTGAATTGTTTATTTCTAAATATCTCTACATAAAAAAAATTCAAGAGCCTGGAGCGGAAACAACACATAGGTGCTTAAGTCTACTTATCTTCTCCATTTTCCCTCAATGTCTGCCTTTCAATACTCAAATTTTTGTTTATTCCCGGCTCTTCAAGAGCTTCTTTATACATACAGGGTGTCCCACGAGGTTTCTCCCAGGTCATAACTTCGGAACGCGTCATCCAATATAATTGAAATTTTGAAGATCTGGGTAACTTTTTGTGCCGCTTCTACCATTATCATCCAATTTTGCTTCAATTTCGGTCAAGTGACGTCAACTTTCAAATCTTGAATGTAACTCATGGTATATTATGGTATTTTTCGTTAGAAAATTAAATTACAAAATCGGCTATGCCATATTTGTTGAGGCTTTGTTAAAGGATATGACAGAAAATTATACAGTGGAACATATGATGATGCGTTCCGAAATGATCATTTGGGAGGAACCTCGTGGGACACCCTGTATAAGAGCCGGTTTATTCTAATAAACTGTCAGGTAATGCAATCTGCCGGATGATAAGGCAATATGTAATCCCATTGGTCAACCAATTATCCAGTGACCAACAGGATTATAGATCTGTAAATTTATCTTGCAGATAGTTACCCAGCAAGTTTATCTTGAAGAATAAACCATGACTAAGATAGAGAATATTGAATGTAGCGATTACAATTTTAATACAAAAACAGATCTGCAAAAAAGTCGTCTGATCCAAATCCATTCAAACATTTGAAATGCTGGAGGATGTTATCTAGCAGGCGCCTGATTCTCGAAACGAGGGAGCACGGTTCTTATGAGAACAAGTGCCCTGTCCTTCTCAGTTCCATGCAGCTTCTGATATGAGTGTCACAGACAGAAAATCTGTTCTCATGAGAACGCTACTCCCTTATTTCGAGAATCAACCTCCAGGCCTTTTTTCCTATTCCAACAAACATTTCGAGCAACAAAGGTCAGTCATTATGATGTCGATTTTAAATAGATTTACGTCGATTAACCAAAATTTGACGTCGTAAAGAGGTTGGAAAATATGACTTGGTTGGGACATCCATGACATGAACCAACAGGTTCAAAAGTTTTGCCAATTTTTGCCACTCGAATAATGATCATTCCTAAAAGGTTTTCCATCACATTTTCGAAACAATCTGAAAATGGTGTTTTGTTCATTTCAGCAAGTAAAGATAGAAGGATTTGTTTATCTCAAAATTATACCTAATTGATAAATCATGAAGTAAGAAAAAAGGGACCAGGATAATGTAAACAAGCTATTGTATCTTTCTTCTGTTATCTATTTTTATATTCCTCATTGGGCAGTAGACTATTGTCGCGAAATAAGCTATTAGAAAAATTATAATTACCTAAGCTATGATCCTAAGTGCCCTTCAAATCAGAATTTTGGTAAGCTACTTCTAGCTGAGCATGTTTGGTATTAACATCAAATTACGCAACTTTGCCCCAATTTAACCCAATCTGTATCTCTCACCGTTTAGACTTTAAGCATTTGGCTGTAGATGTTTTCAATAACTTCCTCTCAACAATTCAAGTTGCATTTCACGAATATCCAGGGCAACAAATCATGGTTTGATTATTTCTTTTTGGTAATTGGTGTCCCCCGGGGAAGCGGTACGCCATAAAAGGTTAGGATCGCATTTGTTACACGATTAAACTATTAAAGATAAGTGTAGCAGTGGGGCACTACCGAATACCGGCAAAAAATGGTTGAATTATGATTTGCTGTTGGGTGTCAGCTGCACAATGTGGTTTCAAGTGAATTCAGCCTAATGGGGCTTTGATAGAATAGCTGAATGCTCTTCAACTTTGCCAGGCAATTTTTTTTTTGTGTTTTCCAAATGAAGAGTCAAGAGATCATGTTCTATATTGTAGCTGAAATGAAATGGTCACGCCTCTAAAGAGAAATAAAAAACCTTTCAAAGGAGGTATCACACAGGGTAATTTCTCATTTTAGAAAAATTATTAGGAGGGCAAGCCTCCAAGACGGGAGGGGTAGGGGTTAGGCAATTGGTTTCTCCGATGTGTATTTGTCTTTCGTCTAAGAGATAGGTAGTCAAAATTACTAGGTAGTTTTAAAAATATGCTTATTTTCAAACACCAAATATGTCAAAAACTAATCGTACGATTTATCTTTTGCTACAAGACTGTAAAAGGAAAGCAAGAAGCAATCCAACAATGTGCGTTTCAGCCACTTTTTAATAAAAATTAAGAGAAAAACACGCGTGGCCTCGTGGGATATTTTCCCAACATAAACATGGCATGCAATGTGTTAATAGAGTTATTGGACGAAAAAGATCTTAAACTGACAAAAAATAGGGATCAAATTCTTACCCTCCAAAAATACTGCACAACAATATGATTAGCATGATAGTCGCCCTTATAAAGCGTATTTTGTTTCCAGTCTTTTACGTCGATGTGTTGAATACCGCACATGAGCAGTTCCAATTCGTTCTCGTCGAAAATTTTAATCACAGTCAGTGGTACAAGATCGCTATAACCTTCTAAGAACGCGTTCATTTGCTCTTGTACCCTACCTACGAATCTCCATTGAATAATACACCTAAAAAACACAAAAATTATTTAATTTTGATATTATTATTTTTTTAAATTGTCTTACTTTATATATTCGTCTTTGTTAGAATTATCCAAAGGAATATTAGCTCCACCTTCGGTAAGGTCGTGAGCAGTTGTGTGGCCAAAAGATTCTTCGTCAACCGAAAAAGTAAGATCCAATCCTGAAGGATCGTTTTCTTTGATCCACAGCAACGATTTGTAGTATTCAGAATCTACAGATTCCATGTCTTTTAAATCTATGGTTTTCGATAACATCATTTTGTAGAACGGCCTAATAAAGAATGCTAGAAAAAAAATATTTAAATAATTTGTCTATAAATGGTTATTGTTATTGTACTCACCATCTAATAATTTACCATGATACACAGCCATACCAGCGATTCTACCAATAAACTTAAAGTAAGCTAAATGCTCTTCATTGCACAATCCCGAAGTAGGATTAATTTGTAACGTATAATTATCCATTGCCGAATATTCAAACAATCCGTAATAAGGATTAAACATTTCCTTTGACAGCAAATAAAACCACTCCCTAGCTAAGCCTCCGTAATCAAGGCCGACTTCGCCTTCAAATTCTACCCACAATTTTGTCTTTAGCAGATCTACACGACTTACATTAGTGATTACTCTGAAGGAATCTTCTAGAATACTTCTACGTCTCACTTTAATTTCGAATTTGTTTGGTACATTCGTCTATAAGAAAAAATACATATCAATTTGATTGGATTATTGGTAGTATACAACTTACTGGTTTTCTGAGTTGAGTTTTCATATATTCGTATTTTCGTTTATAGTCTCTAGAATACGGTATTGCTGGGCCTGCTATTTGCGGGTTCGATAAACGGGGATCGTCCCATTGTGTTGTCCTGGTATCTATAAAAAAATAATAATAGTCTTTATTTATAGCACTTGCCTAGCAATTTCAATAGCTTAATGTTACTAGAAAGTTGACAGAATTTTTGATAATACCCTCCTATAATTTTTTTATTTGGATCTCATAGTTTATTACAACAGTATTGGTCATCGCCTACAACTTCTAGGTTTTGAATATATTAACATTTCCCAAGATTTTGTTGTGGTTCTTATTTACAAGTCAATTGAGAAAAGTATTAAGTTAAAAACTCTTACTATGATCAATAAAGAATATTCGCCCATCTGAATGCACCCTCTCTTCCCATCCTTCTGGCAAAGCACCCAAATCGTCATCCGGTTTCCTATTCACTGGTTGCACCGCAGGCTGGTTGGGCATCGGACTAGCCCTGCCTGTCCTGGGATCCACCCATGATGTTGTTCTTTCGTGATGATCGATAAAGAAAAGCCGGCCGTTAGGGGCTCTGTAAACTTTACATGTACAAGCTTGTTTTGTGGTGATTTAGCATACCTTTGGACACTCCAACCGGGAGGCAAATCATCTCCGATTGCCGTTAGATCACTTTGTGACGCGTTATTGCTGTTGTTGGTGTTTGTGGACACGGGAGAATCTCGACGGGACGAATTATTGCTGTCCACATGGTCAAAGCTCTGGAAAGTTAATTTGGTTAAATTGCGGCCTACAAAGAATTTTTAAAGCAAAGAAAAAAAGTGTGTTATATGCAAAAAAAACGCTGAAAAAGAAAATGCAAAAAATGTTGAGTATACAGAGTAAACAAGAGTAATTATATTACTAAACTTATTGCATTTTCTTCATATTATAAAGTTTGAAAAAATTATGCCGCGTAACACAAGCCAACGTTCAACATAGTATAACATAAGCGTAAAATTTTTATCCCACTGGCGGTTAAAACTACTTAGGAATAACAAATATTTTATTAATAACAAAAAGTCAATTCTGTTAATTACATGAATGCATCCATTCCTAATAGAAACGGGTTTTTACACACTGCAATTCTTTACGTGCAAGTCACAGTTAAAACTATAAGTTCACGTTTTAAATCTTTTGACTTTGCCACATAAAAATCAAATTGCAAGAAACCTTTAACCTTTAACAAATTGTCTTACACTTTTGCAAAAAGGTACTATTGCAGCATGTGAAATGTAGTTCAAAAAAAGAAAAGTACCAATATTCACTAAAATCTAGACACAAAACTGAAGCCAAAGCCAACTCAAACATATCCAATCATCTGGACCATCCAGAAATAAGTTCTAGAGCAACATTTGTTGAAAAAGCAACACAAAAATTAACAAGTTTGTGACAAAAAAAAAACGTCCACCACCGTCTGCAAAAACAAGTTACAACAAACTGTTGAATAGTGAAACCATTCTTTTGAACAAAAGCTTTCTACCGCCAATGGGCCTAATACAGCTTCTGTTTACCGTGTTTACACGAGCTCGCGCTACATTTTCGTCCAGAGAACTCCTGGCGCTATCAGCATCGCTTTCTCCAGATCCGTGATAATCTGAATCGGTTACACTGAGCCTATTAGTTCTGTCCGAGGCAGCATCAGAGCCTATAATATTTTGGCCGTTTGGCAAAGCTGAATCTTCCGCAAGATTTTCAGTTGTTTCTATGCTATTTTCCAGAGCTTCACTGTGCAATTCTAGGATGTTTTCGTCGTCTGATTGCTAAATTTAGCATTTCGGTAAGAACAATGTTTGCAATATGAACCAAAAGCCAATTTAGTAACTCACCTGATTATTACTAGAAACATCTCCACGGCCATTAGTTTGTTCTTCAGCACTTATATGATATCTCCTCTCAAATACCTCTCTGTCTTCACCTCTGGCAACTTCCCGAGCTGTTTCTTCATTTTCAGGGCTATTACTCCTGCAAAATTGTCAAGTCATGTTTTGTGATTAAATAGATTTGATTGAGCTTACGGTAAAGTCGGTCGTTCCCACTGAGTTGTCCTGGCAATATGATTAACATAATAAGTACGTCCGTTTGCGTCCTGCCTTTCTTCCCAGCCAGGCGGTAAAGGCGAAGACGATTCCGATGAGTTTGAACTCATAAGAATAGCCTACAAATAAATCCAATTTCATCAATTTCCATTAATAAAAAAATATCTTACCTGTGAAGGAGTCTCCTCTCTAGCCTCGCCAACAATCTCCCACTCGTTGACGTTAATAGGTTCCTCAACAGAGGCAATTGGAGCATTTCCTCCGTCATAAAGGTAGGCATGGTAGATCTCCAAGTGGCCTCGTACACGTGACTTGGTGCTAAAACCACTACGATGCGTGAAAGGAGATGGACCAAGAGCATGCAGAGAAACAAAGCCAAGTAAGCGACAAGATTAGTTATGTTAGTGTTAAGCAAAGAATTTACGCTTAAAAAAAGTATTAAATCAAAAAAAGCGCCATTGGTTACTTTCAGAAAATTAGTTATATGTACCTTCTAGGTCGTAATAAATATTTGATAGGAGGAATGATCCTGCCTTCTTGTTCCTTAGGCAGGTTCATTAATGATAATTCAACCATTCCAAGAAAATCATCGCGAGTCAGCCGGTTTTCGTCAAATACTTGCAGGATGAGTTTGTGTTCGGTGGGTTTCACCTAAGAGATTCTTCAATATACCTACTAAACTTCTAAGGCTAAAAATTTAACTCACCCTAAATATAAATTCCTCATTCCATTCAGGGTTGAGAGTCTGGAAATTAGAAAAATTATAACATAAATCTTATCGAGGAAAGATTCTATGAACATCAATACCTTTTTTCTTGTCCGGGTAAGTACTGAGTCAATAATTTCATCACCGTTTATTGGTATTAGGTCAATTCTAACATAGGGGTCACTGCAAATGAAACATTATTTATAATATTTACGTATTCTCAATTAAATCTAACGATATTACATTAATTGCATTGGGTAATAGCACAGATATTATTAATAACAACGTTATCGTATTTTCTTTGAGTTTTATTTATATAAGGTAGTCAAAATAATACGAGTTTTTAAAAATTTTGTTTGCGTTTCTGTTTTCTACAAGTATAAATGTTATTCGTTCTTGTATCTTAAGAATTCATTAATTATTGTCTCTGGAGCATAATTAAAAAAATTCCCACAAAGTTGATTATTTAAACAACAATGTTTCTAGCGACAGACAAACAAAGTATTGTTGACCCTCCCAACAAATTAGTATTGCGTTTAATTTTTTGAATATGAGGAAATCCTACATTCATCAAATAAAAGGCAAATATTTAGTTACAGTTCCTCATTACGAACGATTAAACAGCAGTACTCACTTGCGAAATCCAGAGAATAATAGTGAAAATTTTACTTATCTACATAAGGTACAAAGTAAAATTAAAATAATAATGTATCATTCTTAAGTATATATATCAAAAACTACAAAGTTCTGTTAACGGGATGCAGTCCAGAGTGTTGAATTTCGTAAAAGAAAAAAACATTATTGAAATTTATTGAGGCCCTCTGAAAGTACTGATTCGAAAATTGGTATGAATGAGACTACAGTAGAGATTTTTACAACCAACTTCAAAACAACAAATATTATTAAACTGTTGGATTTATTTAGGGCTCACCCTGTATAGTCATAATTAAAAAAAAATCCCAAAAAAATGTTTTATAAATCAGACTTGTGGTAAAACCATTACAAATTGTTCAAAACATTACTACCTACGTTTCCGTTCTCTTGAATAAACTAGTATTTGCTTATATAAGATTTCAAGGGCATATTGTGCATTATGGAAGAAAGCTTTTGTTTTATTGTTGGTTTAAATTTAACCAAAACAGTACTCGAGCGGGAAATCCCAGATTTTGTCACCAGATAAAATAAAATCGTGATGCTGCTGTTAGTTTTAATTTTCACTAAACAAACAGTTATGAATTGACTTGACTCTCACCTTGCTCCAAATATATCCTTTTTCATAAGACTCTTCCCTCTTACAACTTTCAGATGAAGTTTGCTAGTCGCTTCTTCAGTCTGAAACAAAATATGTATTATTTATTTGAGTTCAGGGCTCTAATCTATGGATATTTTTGTGAAATTTCAAGAAACATTGAAACTAAATATTTATTTTTCATTTTTAAAGATCTCTTTTTGAGGATCTTATGGAACATGGCTCTGTACTCGGACTACTCTTGTTCTTGATTCATATGTAACTGCTGCTCTACAATCTTGAGAATAACTTTGTAACCTGATGATACTATCAGCTTTCAGCCTTTCAATTTTTAGAAGGAAATGTAAGATTATAAAGAGGCAATATTGGATTGATGTAAGTATGAGGAGTTTGATATGACATTTCCTCTCTCAAGAAACAATACACTTGAAAACTACTGAGTGGATCTAGATTGGCATGACATGGTTTATCGATTGGATTCAATGAAAACTGAAAAATACAAATCACTTTTCATTGTTCAAGTTTTGATAATAACTAAAGATGTTTCACAAATCAAGAACAAAAATTATTATCTTGATTTTTTTAAATTACATTGTCATAATCAAGTAGGTGTATACTGTCGCAATTATCTTTATTTATATTGAATCAATCCTGGGTGGGCCAATTTAAATACTCCTAAAAGAAAACGTCAATTTCTAAGCAAGAGACAGAAAAATTAACTCCCCACTCCGAGGCTCAAATTTCATTTAATCTTGATAAGAAAACCGAAATCAAGAAATTGACTTACAGACTCGTTACAGCTTTCCACCAAAAATAAAAGCAATTAGGATTGTTTTCATATTTATCCCCATAAATGTAAAATCGTCCTAGCCGGTTCATTTGGCAACTCTTATTTTTTTCAAAAATCTGATTTCTTCGTGATTATAGAGAGTGACTGATTTTGACGGGAATAGCAGTGAAACTATATAAGCATAAATAGCTGGAATTAACAGATCATTTAAATTAAATTGGCATGGGAGCAAGAACAGTGGAGAAGTGGCAAACGGTACATATTATACAGACATAAAATTGGAAATTTTTTGATGAGTTGTTACCAGAAGCTGTGACCTATTATTGCACAAGAAGTTTCTTCTGAGAAGTTTAGAACATCTTTATTTCTCTAATTTTCTAGACTGCCCTAGAAGGTTGTCGTTTAGAATATATACAGTGTGTTTCACGAATGAGGCGTTTTAGACTATTTTAAGGTTGATTTAAAAAAAAACGCTCGAACACATCATTTTTGTATTCAAGGGGGAAACTTTTTGACCTCATCGGTATTTCGCTAGGGTGCAGGACTTTCATCCTTCTTTCTTAGATAGGGAAGATGGGTCGAGTGGTACCTTGTTTCAAATGTATTTTGATTCTCGTCACAACTGCGTATTTTTTCCGAAAATCGAATGATTAGTTCTCGAGATATTCACTGGCAAAGTTGCCATGGGCTAAATAAGAAACAATCCTCTGGCCCCGTTATTCTCAAATTAACACTTTCCTGACTTTCCTCTCTGACACGTCAATTTTAATTTTTTGTGTGCTTCTGGAAAAATGAAATTTGACGTGTCCGAGAAGGAAGCCAAAAGGTGTTAATTTGAGAATAACAGGACCAGAAGATTACATATTTCCTATTTAGCCCATGGTAACTTAGACAGTAAATATCTTGAGAACTAATCATTCGATTTTCAAAAAAATACGCAGTTGTGACGAGAATCAAAATACCTTTAAAACAAGGTACCACTCGATTCGACCCATATCCCCTATCTAAAAAACAGGGGTGAAAGTCACCCCACCCTGGGGGTGCACCCTAGCGCAATACCGATGGGGTCAAAAAGTTTCCCCCTTGATTACAAAAATGACGTGTCCGAGCGTTTTTGTTTTAAATCGACCTTAAAATACCCTAAAACAACACAGTTGTAATTAGATCTCCTTGTAGCCTCCTGTCAAGTAGGGTAGTTAGGTTGAACTCATTCAGACGGTCTTCATATGTGGAATTTTAGTAACTCTCGTTTGAACTTTTTCCAATACCTTCAATGTCTTTGGCATAATAACGATTCCAGACTAACTGGGCATACTTTAGTATGGGGTATGGGTCTGATGTAGGACTTGTATATTTTTAGGAATGTAGTAATCTTTGAATACATCTTTGATTAAATTCCAGCTAATTGCTTATTGCTGAGAAGAAACCGTTTTCTGAACTTCCTTTGGGAGAGTTCAAAAACAATTGTGTTTTCCCTCAAATATCTTCTTCCCACTCTCAGGATCTCCCTCAGATCTCCTTCTAATTGCATCTTCCACAAAATGCATTAGTATTAAATTGATTTCAGAATACTTATAATTTCAAGCAGAAACTCGAAAATGAGATTAAAGAGTATGAGAAACTATGAAAAATCATCGTTTTGATCATATGCAATATGCAAAGGCAAAATAGAACCAATAGCATTGGCAATCAAAAACCCCGGTATGGTTTTAAAAATAATCGAAAAATTCTAAAATCTCCTACAATGTTTTCAGGTTGGTCAGTACGCATTTCTCTATAACGAACTTACCCAAAGATTTCAGGAAAAAGTCATAAAGACTAAAATTTATTTATAGAAAGAAATGTTAGTTCAGTAAGCAAGCGTTTTTTCCAAAAACGCTTAGTTTTCGTCAGTTAAAAACCTGAAAAAAGTGCCGAAAATTTAGGGTTTTTTGCAATTTTCTTTACGTGGTAGCAAACCTCAGATTATTAGGATTCAGTACCCCACAACAAATAAGAACCGGTAAGAAAAAAACTTCTACATTTTTCTCCTGGAAACGCTCAAATGACTGAACTATAACTTTTCTTTGCTATTATATTTTTTCCAATTCTATCAAGTTAGAGAGTTCGCGCGCAGATCTTACTTCATTGTAAATAGATTTTTTTGGGGTACGATTAAGTCATTTCGACAGCAATAATAGTTTTCCAAATATTCAAGTTCTTGAGGACGCATAGCAGACATCAAATAATGCCATAAAAGACGATCCATTCATGGTGAATGATGCAGTCAAAAACTTAGAACATTTATACCGACTCTGCGTTCAAGGGAATGGAGGCTATTTTCAGCATTCGTTAACTAGGTAATTAATTCTCTCATTTTATTACGTTGAATCGTTTTATGGATTGTTTTAGGTTTTGTTGTTTTATTAAATAAATTACACAATATTTCAGAAACCAGTTGAAGATACGTTTACACTCGGCTATAGAAAACGTCGTTTTACACAGGTGATAACTTTGGATCGCGTCATCCTATGTAATTGAAATTTTGAGGATCTGGGTAACTTTTTGTGCCGCTGCTAAATGTGTCAACCAATTTTACCACTTTCGTTTTAGTTTCGATCAAGTGACCGCAACTTTAGAATCTTAAATGTAAGTTGCTAGTTGCATGTTTATACAGACACCACAAATGAGAGAGTTAATACTCAAATGATCAGCGCAATAAAGAATGCATTTGACAACAAAATCTACATATTTGTACTGAGAGATTTCAACTAATCCAACATAAACTGGGATAACTTAACGGTGTCCCCAGAATCGAGAAAATAGCATGCATAAATTAATAGACTTTTCAACAATATATGTATAGTCTGGCAAGTGGTAACTTGGTAGAGACGAAAGGGGGAAGAAAAGTGGGGCGTGACCTAAAAATATTCACTGACACCTCAACTGACACCGCCTGATGACAGCCATGTCTTTGAGTTCAGTGGCACCGAAAACACTAAGGAAATAAACCAATAAAATTATTAGAAAAAAAAACTCTAGTTTCGCCGATAACCACGCCACTGCGTGCTGTCGTTCAGGCTCTAACCAATAGAATCATGCCTGTTAATAATCACGCCTCTCCACATCCATCGTTTCACTATGTTGCCGGATTTTTTTCTATTTCAAAATATTATACCTGCCCATTTAGCAAAAAAAAATATGTCACCAACTTGTTTATTATTGTTTCCGTCAAGTTTGGCAAAGCAGCAAATTCTTTTGGAGTTCGCCGTTTGGCTAGCCAGATAATATAGGAGGCAGTGATTTCAAAAATGTAATGTTTTTGATCTCAAATCAAAGTCGCCTATTGGGTGTTGCGACCATTTAATAATTACGAAAGCACATCTAAAACTTCCAAGAAAGCTAATCAATAAAGTTCTCAGAAGGAATTTTTACACAGCAAAATACAATGTAATAAACAACTTCATCAGAAACCAAACCTACAACTTGGAACAGAACAGGTTCGAGAATTTTGAAAACAGTCTGGATATGGCAGTAGAGAAAAATATTCCGTTGAAATCCATAAAAGCAAATAAGCCAAGGATTAACCAGTCGCACTTCAAAGAAAAAGTGAAAACTATGGGACAAATATAAACTTGAAAAACGCAAGAAAGCTATCAATCAATGCAGAATAGTGTGCTCAAGCAAAAGCTAGATGAGGCAAGAAGAATATACGAAAATAATTTAGTTATATCAAAATCACCAAAGAGAATATTCAAATACCTAAGTCGAAATTTGAACTCAAAGATATCAGTGATCACTATAAAAGATTCCGTAACAAAAGAGATCCTAGATAACAAGTCAATGACTGAAGGCTTTGCTGAACAGTTCAACACAGTTTGTATCCATCAAAATCCACTTCTACAGTGTACCAGAGTTGGGAACTTAATAGTATACATTTCAGAGAAGAAAAGCATAAATGATAATGAAGAAAAATTCAAGTCCTGGACCAGATGAAATTCCTACAGTACTACTTTAAAATTGTAGAGAAGCAGTTGGTGATTGACTCACAGAGGTGATGAAGGAGTGAGTGGAGCTTGGAAGAATCCCGGAAAAATGGAAACTTTCCATAGTAACACGATTCTGCTAGCAGACTGTTTGCTACCAGAATCGGAAATGGAAGCACATCTGAAGATGCTAGCGAAACGTCAGGAAGGAATTCCAACTTACGACGGCCATGAAACCCAAATGAAAACACTTTATCGATAAACCTGGGCCGCGAAAGCCTCACAAATTTTATCAGACCTGCAAACTGTTGAGGAGTGGTCGAGGGCA